TCAAATTTATGCACTGCATTTTTGTTCCACCAAACTTCCAAATCTTGCTTCAAAACGTCATAAAATCCTTAATAATAGTTTTATCGTAACTACTGACGATTGAGGTATAATTTTGTTTGTTGTTTTACGTAGAATCAACAAATAAACAGTAAAAGCCAAGTAAATCTCTACATTGAAAGTAACATTCTATTGAGCGTTAATTACGTCATACGCGTGACGTCGAGAGTCCCCGATGCTTATTATCCAAAAATAGAAACGGGCACTCTTTCCGTAATAATGGTCCGATTTTCACAAGAAAATCATCACGGATTTTGTTTTAAACAAGAGTTTTTAAACTTACTATTGGAAAACAAGATTAAAATTGAAAGCAGTTTAGTTCTTACATGCATAACTTAAGCAGGGGGTGACGGGTGCTCTGGGGTGTGGTTTGTTCCTTTTTTCCCCAATCAACAATCTACCGTCCTAATCTCTCCTCCTCCTTTTCTGTGTATGTTACTTTTATGTAACACCTCAAATCATCGGCACTTATAAGACCTTACTGAGAAGTGAGTACCGTTAAATCCATTTTAAAACTAAACTTAAAAAGTATAACACAGATTTGAAGAATAGCTAACGAGTATGGCAGAAAGCCATATCACCGTATATTGATAATTACTGAGGAGCAGGAGTGCTCACTTTGTTGCAACTAGCATCTTTCTTCATGATTGTTTTATCAGACTAATCATTTTGGGGTGCATTTACATAAAAACAGCTCAGCAGAAATATCTGTGGTGGATCTGAGGCTAATTCATAAGCTGGCTACTGCCTGCATTTGAAATCGACTTCTGCAACGTTCCTTCAAACTTTGGTGAGAACGTCCTAGTCTATTGCACTTAATATGTTTTAAGGTGTAATATTAAGCTCTTGAACAGTCAGACGAGCAATAGAACTCGTGTATTTGAAAGAAAATATGTAAGGTAAAGTTTTGACAGGGGATGCCTTAGTCACCCCGGTACCAAGTGGCATGGTCGGGGTGACAAAGGCACCCTCAGCTGGTGCCTACTGTATCTGGACCCCAAAAGTTATACATGTATTTGGAGAATTTTCATACACAAAATTTGTAATTTTGTAAATTATATTTATATCTTCTCTTTCAACACATCAGGACAGAAACACATATTATATGCGTGTTTACTTTTCAGAGAAGAACATTTTCCGTTGCTGCCCGGATTCGAACCCGGGACTTTTGAATGAGAGGCGAACACCTTAATCTCTAGGCCACGAGAGCCCCCGCCTATTTGTCTGTAGTACTTGTGCTTGTTCAACAATCAGTGACCTTTGATCTTACTGTCATATTTTCAAAAATGAAACCAGTGACTTGACAAACTGCAAATATTGCATAACATATTTTTTTTATCTGAGGTATCCAGTATCACTTTTATGGGGTTTTGGTGTTGTTTTTGTTTTTGTTATTGGTTGTTGTTTTTTGTGTTTTTTTAATGGGTGCGAGGTGCATTTTTTTCCAGACCGATTACACATCGAAATGACAACATGCCATGGAACTACAAACCAAAACTTGGAGCTCGAGTATACACCGGAACTTCTGATGACGTACTCTCAGAAGCATGTGACTAACATTAACATACTGTTGTGAGTTCTCAGCGAGAGGAGGCTAATAATACTGGTACCGGTACCGATAATACTGTTTCGGGGGCATTCTCGAATCTTGACATGCCATTTGGCGATCCGGCTGCTCATCAAAAAAAGAAACCTCGTCGCAAAAGAATGGATGTGGTTCCCGGGAAGAGCATCGGTGATTATAATAATAATAAATAGCATTTATACTGCGCATTTCCATTTTCTAAAAGTTGCGCAATGCGCATTACAACGAAAAAGACATCACATCTTAAAAATTAATCGACAAGTGTGTACGTAAAACAACGTATTATACATATAATATAAATGCATATATATGTGTAAAATTTTATATGAGAAAAATAGTCTTACAGTGAGGTTGAAAATGTGTTCACTAAAAAAATACAATGCAATAAAAATTCACGAACTGTCACAATAAAGTTGAAACGTGAGTAACTAGAAACATTCATTAAAACATTAATTCTATACAAATAGAAAAACATTTC